CTTCAAATTCATAGACCGTTCAAAAAGTTTACTTTTCAAAGTATCAGTTGAGGAAAGGGCCCACATTCTGTTACAGTCATTTGGCTGTAATAAGACAGTAAATTCTGCTATGGTTTGAGGTCATATATGCTGTGAAGGCTTGCTTTATTTACATGGTCAACAGAAACATGGGAGAAATTGTCAGCAACTTTGGAGGCCTCTACAAAGAGCTCACCAGTGACAGGCAACTCTGCTGGGTAAGACTGGGGGTGCTGTTGTGAAGATGATAGTACAAACATTTTCACAAAATATTTCCATTTTTATTCTTGGAAACTGGGAATATTTCTGTTGCTAAGGCAAGCCAGTGTGAAAGCGACCACCCAAACAATTCCAGGACAGTGTTTGATGCAAGTCACACATTTCAGCATTTACTTATTTTGTGTTTTTTAACCAATACAGATTCCTAATTTTTTACAGTATCAGTAATGTTTTCCTTTTCTGTGTTATCAACAGTGTTGTCTTTTAATCTCTGGTGAACAAAATATCATTTAACAGATACTGAGACATCGGTGAGTATCAAACCACTGTGGATGACACTGGCAGATGTACATTTGATTGCTCAACCAATTGGATCAGAGAAGGGTGCTGTGAACTTGGCCATAGCTGCTGTCTGAATGCTCTGTGGGCCAAGTGAAAGGAAAAGGTAATGCTCATGGATCTCAATATAAGAATGCTCAGGAATTCAGAGAGATTCCCTGCTCCTTTTTGTTCTCATTTGCACATCTGGTCATGATTTTGCAGTAATTTAGACATATATTTAGGTTTAAAATATCAAATAAAGTACATGCATTGCTGAGTTCTTGGAGACTACACATGCTTGATTTTTGCAGGATGGAAAACTAGCAACTGCACAGAGATCAGTGGTGGAATTGGTCCGAACATTTCAGTCATTTTGTTGGAGCTCTGGCATTTCTGAAAGAAAAGATTTTTGCTTAGCCCTGCTTTTCAGATGTTTCTCTGTATGCCCTTCTCTCGATTTCATCTTTCTTGGAGATTTTAATCTGAGATTTTAATCTTTTAGCCACTTCCCTACTGAATATGCTGTTGATATGGGAGTCAAATCTTCTATACTTAGCATGTTACTGGATATTAAAAATAACCTATTTAGGCAGTGATGTGAGCAGCCATAAAGGCAGCCTGGTTAAAAGGGAAAATACTGAACAAAAGGTATTGTCTGCTCAAACAAACTGACAGAGAAAGAGCTGCCAGCCTGGAACTGCAAGCCTGGGTACTAGCCCTGTGAACCATAAAGAAACATCCTTGAAAAGTGCAGCTGGCCTCTTTGAAGTGCAGCCGGGCTACCTAGAAACCAGAGATATCCACAGACACCACTGATAAGCACAAACCAAGGGACTGTAACAGCAATTTATCATGTGGAAATGAGTCTGAAGAAAATAAAATTGCTATGAAGGAACAGAAAACAGCATAATCTATTGGCTGTTACAGGTGAATAACAGAAATTAATATAATCTATTGGGTGCTCAATGTCCTCCTCCTTCATATGTCTCTGTGATACAAAAATGACTTTATTTCTATCCAAAATGGAGCCTCTCCCTGAGAACTTCCCAGCTGAATCCCACATGAACTTTCTATGAGCTCTTGGGCTCTCCCCAGCGATGCTTGGCTGAAGCCAGAGTATGTCATGCAGATTATTTTGGAAGTGAGACTCTGCCTGCTGTCTTATTGTCTCAGTCTGTCCTCCCCTCTTTTGGGGGTGGTTGGTCCCCCTCTGAGACCTGTTTGTTCCTTGGTTTTGGGATGGTTTGACTACTTCTGAAATCTAATTCACTTCATATTGATATTATATATATTCATATAAGTAATCTATCATAAATATATCTGCTGTTACGTTGTTGATAAACTTGCTTCATTAATGATAAACTGTAGTAATCTGTAATAGTATAAAGCTACTTGGCTGCTGCTGCTATTGGCTACACTACAATACTGATTCATGCTATTATTGATTGATACCATACTGTTGATTGATAATATATTATTGATTGTGGATAGTAATTTGTAATAGCTTGAGATATCTATTAATTCATATTAATTTTATTAATCACAGGTATGTCTGCTAGTGGTGATTTTTGTGGTAGTGTACTTGCTTGCAATGAGTTTTTCAGTATTTGTGGTAATCTATAATGAAATAGATAAATTTAGAGACTTAAGCTTTGTGTCTGTGCATATCAGAGAATCCTGCAAACCCATGACCGTGATCTCTCCATGCCTGTAGGCCAGGTAAACCTTCAGGTTATGACAGAAATTGGCCTTTTGCTCTTTGAGCTTAAAACCCTTGTATGGTGGAGGCCTAGTCCAGATCTATCACTTCAGACCCCTGCAGTAGGACAAATAATACCTGGTACAGTGTTGCTGTGGCCATATCCTGACAGGCATGGTTGACTGTGCTTGCTGTTTGCTAGCCTTGTGATTTAAGAAGACAAACTAGTAGCTAGCACTGACTGGAGTTGCCGCTGTGCACACTAATGTACCTCGTGGCTTGGGACAGGCCACAGCACTACCCTGACTGCAGAGCTTGCAGGGGAGAGTGGACTTGAGTCCCACCACCTCAGGTCACCAGCATCCACACTTTTCTTCACTTCTGTTCTGTTGGACTGAGCCTTCATGTGCCGTTGCCTGTGAAAGCAATCAGCAACCTTCAGCTTGCCAAAGTCCAAGAGCATAATATACAGTCCAAAAAAGAGGTTCATCAAAAAAATTACAGAGACATCTTATGTGTTGAAAGGGTAGTTTGTATGATGATGATTTCCAGAAAGGCAGGGGGCTGAAGGGAAGGTCACCATTTCTGATAGCTGATATGAGGAGGGGTTTTTTTTCTTTTTTATAATCACCCCACCAATGTTGCTTCCATGATGAAACAAGTTAAAAAGGATGCTCAATCCTTAATGATTTTTGGGTGAAAGTGTCAAACGTTCTTGCCTGGGGATGAGTACCACATTGCTTTGGTGTCAGTAATGAATTTTGTGTGCCAAATGTAAACATACCTGCACTTCATGACACTCCCTCATAAAGAAGAAAGATTATCTCTTTTACGGTATCAGTGTGGTTCCAGTTATTTAATCTGTTTTGTTTTCTAGTTTATGTGGAAGTTACTAGTCGACATGGTAAGGAAATTTTGTTTTGTTATAATACCAGTCTAAAGGCAACTGGGTCCTATTGTTTTTAATTGTAGAAGAGTACGTGTTTTAGTTGGTGTCCAAACTAAAATGGTCTTACAGGTCATTTCAGACAGAAGCTGTTCTTCGGACAGAAGGTGGGTGTTACTTTCTACTCAGAGATGTCCTTCCTTCCTAACATACCCTCTTCATGTGTCTACCCTCATGCAGAGATGTAAACTAGCTCCTCTTCTGGGGAAGCTGTACAGCTTGTATTGTCCGGCTCTAGCATCATAGCTGTCAGGGGAAACTGATGTCTACTGCTAATAGGAAGCTGTGTACTTAAAGATTGTGGTTTAATCTGTGGGTCGTTGTTTATGATTTGGACAAGGAGCTGCTTTTCTTTAAGTCTGGATAACTGGGGTTTTGTTTTCATTTTTTTGATTGCTGGGGGCTTTTTCCCAAAAATAACTCCTTACTGAAAACTCATTAATTAAACTGTGTATGCTACCACTGCCTGCTAGCAAACACTTGGGCCTCACGTGTTGATCTGTTTGCTGAAGTGATCAGTCATTTTGGGGGAATTCTGTTCAGTATTAAGATCTAAAAGAGCCTGTTCTAAAACAACCTGTTTTTTTTATTTTCCTGAGAGCAGGAGGTGTGACAACAGGGGTACTTCTCTGTTTTAATTTGACAGGTGAAAAGTGTGACCTGACTTTCCTTTCAGTTTTTTACTCCTCCTTAAAAGAAAGTTGAAAAGGACTGGTTATCAACTACTCACAGCCATGAAATTAGGCACACACACGTTTGGCAGTGCAACACAGGCTGATATGAGGTGGTTGGGGGGGAAAGTTTAGAATATCTGTTGTCTCAACTCCCTGCTTGCTTCAGAGAAATAAGGAAAAGTTTAACAGCCATTCCTCAAGTGATCAGCATTACTTTTTTCATCATACTGTTCTTTTTTTTTTTTTTTTTTAAATTTTTTGTCATACTTCAGTCAGG